CGCTATGACGTAATCGGCCTTCGAATCCGGTCTTCTAAGGATGCGTCCTAGGTTTTCGAACAGAGCCTAAATAACTGTTCTCATTTAGGCTAATGCAGTAACCTGTAGTGCTGTGTCTATCACTTGTATCTGCTGCCCAGTCTTCATCACCAGACCTAACTGGTTACTGTAATCTCTCCTGAATCACAAGTCTCTGCCTGCAGTACCTCTGACATACCTTAATAAATCATTTACAGTTACCCACTGTTCCTCTGTTGGTTCACAAAAATATTACTATATTTTGCTCACCACAAAACTTAAGTCTGGACGTGTACATGTAGTTAAATATAATTGGCTGCCTACAGCCTCCCTCTACATGTTTACTGTACGTACCTCATCTTAACAGCATCTTCTGTGTAGCACGGTTTTTGATCACAGGGTATTTCTCTGGCTTTGCAGTTCTGCATGTTAAACCTCTCCAGAATCTTGTGTACATATCTTTCCTGTGAGATTTTTACACATTCATCAGACTAAAAACTAAAGAAAAAAATCTGTAAAATCAATAAAATAAAAAAAATGAGTAAAATCAATACCAAGAAAATGTTTTAGTTGACCTAAGTTTTTTTATCTTGATTTTTTTTTCTGAAAGCAGCTCTTATACATTTTTCATCATTTTTTTTATTGCTAGTTGCAGTTATCAAATTTTCCACCCACACTATCCAAATGATCTTTCCCTGTTTTGTTTTCTTAACATAGACACAGTGGGTTTTGTTTAAAGTCATTAGGTTAAACAGTCATGTAAAGTACTGTTCCAGTTCTGACTGCTTTAGTCCGTACAAAGATTTCTCTAACCTACAAACCAGACCTTCCCCTTCTTTGTATCCTTCCAGTTGGTCTAAGTAGATTTAATAATCAATGGATGCATGAAGATAAGCAGTTTTTACATCCATTTGATGGAATAACAGATTCCCCTGTGCTGCTTTCTGTAACAATACCCTCATGCTTGTCAAGTTTGCTGTTGGGGAGAAGGTTTCACCATAATCAATCCCCATCTTCTGGCTGCAACCCTTCACTACAAACCTTGCTTTGTACTTGTCTTTCCCTTCAATGTCCCTGTTAGGTAAACCCATTTACCACCCTCTGTTTCCTTGTCCTTTGGCAGAGTAGTCAGAGTAAATGCATTTTTCTCCTTTAATGACTGGATTTTGTATCCATTGCTTTAACCCACTGCTTTGAGTTAGCTGATTCTAAAGCATCTTTATATGTTTGGCGAACTCCACATATTGCTCTGCAGCAGTAATCAATTCAACTATGAATCCCATCCTCATCACTGTAATCGTTTACAGAATCCTTTAAATTACCTGGTCTCTTCACACTGACAGTTTCACTACTTATCTGACTTGACCCTTCTTGATCATACTGGTCAGATTTGCCACTTTGTGGATTTTTGTTTCTTATTCTTGGCTCCTGAGACTTTTCAGTGTTCTCATAAACCTCCTGCTCCACCTGTTCAACTGTCTCAATCTGGCATCCTCATCATTTGTTTCTGTCTCAACCATCTGTGTTGGCTTTTCCACATTTACTTTGTCCACAAATTTCACAAGTCTATGTTTTTGGAACTTTCCAGTGTCAGGGCAGTAGACCAAATTAGCAGGACGGTTCTTGTCATAGCCTGCAAATAGTCTCTGATCACATCTTAAATCAAGTCCATGCTTATCCTGTTTTTATGTGTAACATATTGATCCAAACTTTTGCATTTTAGCCAAATTTGGCTTTTTATCTTTCAGCATCTGGTAAAGGGTCTTCCCTGTTTGCTTGTTAAAGCATATGTTGTGCACTATGGCTGAACAGCATAATTCCAGTAGCTTTTTGGTTGCTGACTTTCAATAAGCATACATCTGCCCATTTCAAAAAGAGTATGTCAGCCCCTTTCAGGTGTACCATTCTGATAAGTTAAATATGGAGTTAATGTCTCGTGCTTAATGCCCCTTATACTTATTAGAGTTTTCAAAGTCCTTACACACAAACTCAGTGCTATTATCTGACCTGATGAATTTTACCTTAGCAAAAGGAGCTTTATCTGCTAGTAACTTTTCAGTCGCCTGCACAGTGTCACTCATTGTCATAGAAAGTACAAACACTGCATTAGAATAATCATCAGAGCCTTTGCTCTTGTATCAATATTTCTATTTTGGGTCTGTGTAAACTTTCCCTGAATACGCACTTCACAACTATATCTTTATAGTTAAAGTGGCCTAATATTTCATGCCATGTTTGCATGGCGCGGCAAGTGTTACACTTATCACTATCCTCAGTCTCAATATAATTTTCCATACACATGAACATCAAACCTGGTACCATCTTTACATGTCAAAATGTTATGTTTTCTTTTTAAATGTAAATGTTGCCCCAGATGCTGTGGCTGACCTTATGGAGAAAATGTCCTGGTGGAAGTTGGGATAAACAACACATCTCTAAGGCTATGTTCACACTGCAGGCCTCAATGCTCAAGTCCGATTTTTTGTGTGCAATCTGATAATTTTGCTTTGCCGTTCATATTTCCAAATATATGTGACTTGTATGTGATCTACTGTGTGAACTGTAGTCATACAGCGCAGGTGTCCTGCATGCGCAGTAGAGGACTCAATGATGTCACAGGCCAGCGTGCTCTGTGTTTAAGGAAGTAAACATGGATGGCAGTGCGGTAGCACATTTAGCAATCTTTTCCAACCATAAAAACTAATTCTTTTCAAGGTGGTTAAACATAAATACTGCTCTCCACATCATCGTCCGCCATTGCTGTTCTTTTTTCTTGCCGCTTCTTCAAAGCAAGACCCAGAATAGTGACCTTTGTCAGGTATTAATGGCGTTAAGGTTGGATGAATGTGACCTGGCCGTTCAGACACCGGTCACATTTGAAAAGATCAGATTCGTATCGGATTCAGGACCACATAGCAAAGTGGCCTGAGTCGCATTGGAAAAAATCTGATCTGTGTTGTTCAGACAGCCATGAAAAGATCCGATACAGGTTGCATATGGGCCAAAAAAATCGGATTTGGGTCACTTCAGGCTGCAGTGTGAACGTAGCCTAAGTGTTGCTCTGCATCTTTGTCCCGTGCTGTCTACCAGGACAGTTTCACTGTTCAACTTCAGCAGTGTTGTGAGCATGGTGTACAAGTTAATAATGCATGGCTTCCCCTTCTTGACATAGTATTCTCTCAATATTTTAAATGCTCCTCTGGCATTATCCGGTGCATCTCTTACTATTAGTGAGAGGCTCTTATCATCCAAAAGTTGAATTAATTCGGCGTATGTCTCAGTATTTTTCTTACTGTCTGCTGCGACCTCAGCTTCTCCAGCTGGTTCTCTTAAAACTGTATTCTTGATTCCTAGCACTTTAGTCTCCCACAGTTCAATTTGGTTTCATCTCCATCAAACATGAGGCAAGGCAACCTGCTTGTCCTTCATTGATTCATGATGCTGTCTGTTAACGTTAGCCGTTGGAACACTGTCCATCGCAACCTTCTGCCAGTGATAACGCATCAAAAACTCTTCCCTGAGTTGCTCCTGGGCCCATAACCTGTTGAGTTTTGCAGCCCTCTTGGCGTATTTATTCTCAGGCTCAAAGAAAAGCATGTGCTCATAGAGAGAAGAAAACAAAAATATACTGGCACCCTTCTTGCCAGTCTCACAGTAAACCACTCTGGCGAAACCTAATATTGCATCACATTAACACGAACAACTGCATAAACAGAAATGAGTTTCTTGACAGTCTTCTCTAAACTGTATCTGTGGATTTTAAAATCTAAATACGTTTTAATTTTCTCCTGTATATTTTGTGTTATATTGGTACTTTTCTTTCATATTTTAAGACTGTCTTACTGCTGTTTTGAAAAATTTGTTTATTTTGTCAATATTCTTTTTTTATTTCTACAGTTCCATTCATAATACAAAAAAATGCAATAAAGTCTTCATTTTTACCTACTACTGTATTTTTATTTATTTTTATTTGCTTTAAATCAGTATAGACAAGGACTATCTTCATTATTATTTTTATTTTATGTATGTA